GCTGACACATTGGCTGAACTACGGAGCGAATTTTGGATTCTCGAAGGCGGCTTTTATGAATGTCTTGTGAGAACTGTGAAAACATGCTTCAAGAAAATAATTGGGAAGTCTTTCAACCGAAGAATTAAGAACAGTCTTAACAGAAATAGAAGCCGTAAATAGACCGATTACCTATGTGTACAGTAATTCACAAGAGTTATCTCCTGCAAGTCCTTCGCATTTTCTTGCATGGAAACGTTTGATTTCTTTACCACCAGTAAAATACGATGGAAATGTTAATGCAGATAGAAATAATATGATAAAGCGATACAACTATTCACAAAATTTGTTAGATCATTACTGGAAAAGATGGAAAAGCGAATATTTGCTAAACTTAAAATCTGCAAACTGTGTAACAGCAACAAAGGTCAAAGAAGACTTTAAGGTGATCGGAGACAACAAGTTGCCTAGAAATATGTGGAACTTAAGCAAAATTGTTGAAACGTATACTGGACGTGACGGTAAGATACGATCATGTAGTGTAAAACTTAAATCTGGTATAGTGAAATGACCAATACAACTTTTGTATCCATTGGAACTGTCCATTGGAAATAGACTATATATGCTGATAAAATAAGATAATTTGAACTTTAATATTTAATTTAGAATTCTATATATGGAACTACTCTGATATGCGCCCTCAAGTCGCCAAATTTCTCGCCAAATATTTTTGGCGAGAAACTTCACGCTGCCATCAAAAGTCGTTAATTCGGACACCCATAATTCGGAATGATCTATAATCCGGACCTCAAAACTAAAAACTTTCTGCGCATGCGCCGCGTTGACACATGCGCATAGGCGTTTACGCGTTCACGTAAGACCCTTTACGACTGCGCATATGAGTGTGCGCAAGTGCAGAATACGTTTTCGCGTGCGCGTTTTATTATAATGGACGTATAAGCTAAAATTGTCTAATTATCTATTTCAGTTAATGTTGATGATTGCGTTGTTCCTTAATTTTCGAATTGGATCCGGCTTATTATTTTTTGCAGACTGTAAGAGCAATTTTATAAAAGTAAGCTTAAACTTTCGATTATATCAAATAGAATTTCCGATATATATATATTTGTTAATATGTAAAGGATCTAAAGCGAAAGTATGTTTTGAAATCCGAAATCTGTTTATCAATTTCACACGCTGCTCGGCGGGGGGATCGCCGCGCGGCGGGCGCGTAATGAATTGGAAGTTGATCTGTCAACACTATCTTATCTTCAGCGCAGATGTTTTTATTTTATTTGGCTTATAATTCCTTACCAAATGTAGTATTTATTTCATCTCGATATGCTCCGTCTTTGATATGATTTAAAACAAGTTCCTCGTCATTATAATTCGCTTTGATAGCGAAGAAAGTAACAGAGGTTATTGAAAACGAAAAAAATTTCGATTGACAAATTAGTCGGTGTTCTCGACACAGCAATTATAGGACTTGAACAGCGTAACTTTGTAACTGAACAAGAAATTATGTCTGTTTTAATAGAATTAAAGAGAAAGTATTATCACATGAAACGAAGCAAAACTTAAACAACTTACATTGAAAGAAATGTTTAATAAAGTAAACAAATAAATATTAAGCTTTTTCTTTTTGCAAATTTTGATACCCTTTAGATCATAATTGTTCTTTATTTCATAAATTACGGTTTCATATTTTTAATTTTAGAATTTCTGCATGCCATCTTACGAGATTTAAACTGATGATCTATAATCCGGAAAAATCGATAATCCGGAATCGCCGAAGTCCCGACGAGTCCGGATTAACGACTTTTGACTGTACTATCTAAATTTTTTGCTACATTTTGAACTTTTAGCCTAAAATGTTTCCAAAAACGCGGTTTTCGCACATGCAAAAACTACGTTTTGAACACACAATTTAGCTAAAAATCCGAAACAAAAACAAAAAATTTAGATAGCAAAAACGTAAAGTTTCTAACCAAAAATATTTGACAAGAATCCATGTACACAGCTACATGTTTTAACTTAAAAAAACATCTACGAATTGCACAATGTAGGCAACGAACGAATCTACAAACTACACAGACCTCGCTTTAATAAATTAACATAACAACAATAAATTTCAAGGAATACCATGTACGCAGCATCCTGTTTAAACTTTTAAAAAATTCTACGAATTGCACAATTTAGGCAAGGAAGGAATCTACGATCTACGCACTCCTCGCTTTAATAAAATAACATAACAACAATAAATTTCAAATAATACCATGTACAGGGCGTTCTGTTTGAACTTTAAAAAACATTTACGAATTGCACAGTCTAGACACTAAACAACAAAATAAACTAAAATAAGTTTCAAACAATTTAAAAAAACAACACTAACGACAGAAATTCATACTAGAGAACATAACATTCTACAAAATAAGAACAGGGATAAAATAAAATGCACTTACCATGAATTAATGCATTTTCGAATAGCAGAAATATAAATTTCATACCGCCTTTAACATGCCGCCACATAATCACTATCGTATTTACATGACAGCCAGACACACTATCCAGAAAATTTACACTATGGTTCACAAATAAATAAAATCACAAATCCCTACTTCTATCATGCACTGCCATTAAAAATAATCTCCCAGACCCTCTTTCCACACTTCCAAATACCCACTACCCCTCAACAGGATAGCCACAATGATATTTCCTTTTGCCGAACTTCAATTCAACTACCATTTTATCTTTCCCTCCCATCTTCTCAGACACAGAGGCGAATCAACGAGTTCCAGCGAAAGTTTTTTGGTGTATTTAATTACGGCAAAGCACACTAGGGCTATCTGCTAAAGGGGAGGGATGCCTTTCGTGGAGGACTTTCTAAGGGAAACTGGCTCGTATACACGTTACACATGGGGAAAACCACGAAAACACCCATGCAGCCAGCCCGTTCGCGGGATTCGAACCTCGGACCGAACTACCAGTGTTCAGCGACTTTACCGCTCGGCCGCTGGTGGGCCAGTTCCAGCGAAAGATTTTTCAACGTCAACAGGGTTGCCATAGAACACGCAATCGCGCCAAAAACCAGTGCAGAACACATATCGCCACATTTGGTGAAATTAGGGCGTATATTAGAGTTGTACCCTATATATTATTCTCATTCTTATTAGTATTATTAGTTATTGTTTTGTTATCTATTATTGTAGTATTAATGTAGTATTTTATGTTATTTTTGATATTAATTGTAATATTGATAATTAATTATTGTTATTCATAAGTAAGTATTATATGATATTAATTAGTTAGATTTAACTGATGAACTTGCAGTTCATGGGGGGCAGGATGTTATAAATTAATAGTTTGTGCCATCAGTTGGCACTTCGAACGTCTTGTCTCTGTTGACGTTCTGTAACTTAACTTGAGTTTTGATGGAAGATGGAAGGTGTTAAGCCTAATAATGAAGAAGGCGTTTGCCTAACAATAATGCTTGTAACTATTGTATTATATTGTAAATAAAATGTGTATGTATAATAACGAAATGGAATGATCACTTACGTCAGGAACTAATGCTCTCTGATAGTAGCCGGAATTAGTTACTACATATGCTGTAATGAAAGTAAAATATAATAAATAATGATTAACCAGATTGGCTTCAGGGATATAACATATTAGTAAGTGTAAAATCAACGATGTAGCAATGTAGAATGTTTCGATTTGAGATGTATGCCAAGCAGATATGCATCTGCCAAATTATTGATCTATAAATTTATGCTAAAATGATTGTTTTTTCAATAACGAGATATTTTATTTAGTGCGGAAGTGAAATTAAGAATCTGACTCTCCAGATATTTTACTGTGCGTGCAGGGGGGAAATCAAATGTTCAGGCGTACAGCATAATTTTTTTTTTTTTTTAAAGTTGGTGGCTTTTGATGTCCGGATTTTAGATCATTCTGGATATTGGACGCCCGGATCTTGGACTCTGCACCTGTATTATGTATTCATCGCTCTTCCAAAATTTCTCCAAAAAGTAAGAGTTCATCACAATCAGAAGACTCTTTTCAAGAATCTTCTCTAGATTTGTGGGTCTATAAATCTTGCCTTCAAATCCTTTTTTACTTTCCAAGTTGCAATGTCTAAACTCCTATTGAAAAATTACCCCCTACTAATTCTGTAACAGCAAAAAGCCAGAAATACGTTTAAAAAAATCAGAGGAAAAGAGTGTAAAATTTATTTTATAGAGCAAACTGATGCTCAATATCAAGTTTCATTGGTTGTAATGCTAATATTGTATAAAAAAATATATAAAAGTTCATTGATTGCAATACTTATAATAGATTTTAAATTGGCAAGAGCTTTTTATTACATCAGGGACAGAATCAGAAAGAGATTTAAATCATATTGATACTGTTATTTAACAAATTATCAGTAAAATACAATTGATTTACTGGTAAAAATGTTAAGCTACTTTGTGTGGTTTATGAGAAAACAGGTAAAAAAATTTTACCAGCATTACAAATTCTAGACACAAGGTTTATCAAAACAGCAGTGAAGGAATGCTTTAAAAAAGTGGTATTCAAACTTCATGGCAATGCGGCCCCATAAAAATAAAAACGAACCCCCCCCCCAACAAGAGTGTCGATTTGTTATATATCATCAATTCAAATTTTTTACGATTTTTTTCCACCTTTTTTACACTACTATAAATTTTCACAACCTATCCAGAGCCACTACCCATAGATTGAATACCACTGCTTTAAACAAAAATGCCACAAAAGATGATCATACAATTACAAAATTTCCATCTAAAAGAGCCATACTTCCTTGTTAAAGTGGCCACCATATTATTTGTCAAAACTGGAAAACTTAATCACCAATCTACAATGCGAAAACTTCAACTATCATCACAAGCTTATGCAGTGACTGTTTTACCAAGGAAGTAACTTCAATTTTATCTATGCATATACCACATGCAAATTCAATTATACTTGAAAGCATTTATATAAAAATAGATATTTACCTAAAGAAGCAAGCATTTCTTGAAGATCATCCTTATCAATAAAACCATCTCTATTTTGGTCTATCATGTTAAATGCTTCTTTAAATTCTTGTATCTGCGCCTGATCAAACATGGCAAATACGTTGGAAGTAGCCCGCTGAGCACGTTTCTTTGTTGTTCCACGACCTTTAGCCTTTCTGCTTGACATTTTCTATAAGCATGAAAATGTCTTTAAAAGGAACTGTCTGGCTATAAACAGTAAATACAATAAATGCTGATTTAAAAAGATACTTGTATCAGAAAATTTTATTGCTACAGGTCGAATTGAAGTTAAAACCTTAACACTGTTTCATCTGTAAAAATAACTGATCTCTGATAACATAAATGGAAAATGTTTTATTAATAAATATGTAACAGCATTTGGTTTCATTAAAATCATTTCTGACATTCGAAGCTTTCAGAATGTAGGTGATAAAATTCTTATGCCAACTTTCATAAAATTTCTTGGCACAGCAATTACGGGACTTGAACAGCGGAACTTTGTAACTGAACAAGAAATTATGTCTGTTTATAGAATTAAAGAGAAAGTATTATCACATAAAACAAAGCAACTTAAACAACTTACATTGAAAGAAATGTTTAATAAAGTAAACAAATAAATATGAAGCTTTTTTTTGTAAATTTTGATACCCTTTAGATCATAATTGTATATTATATGGTTTCATATTTTTAATTTTAGAATTTCTGCATGCCATTTTACGAGATTTAAACTGATGATCTATAATCCGGAATCGGCGAAGTCCCGACGAGTCCGGATTAATGACTTTTGACTGTATACGAAAATAAATTTGTATTAAATTCAAGTTAGCACAGAAAAAAATATATTAAGCATAAGACAATATAAAAGCGGCTGATCTTTGGAATATGGTAACAGGTAGTTTGGCGACATTTTGGAGGCGATAAAGGTTACTACCTAGGACTTTGGTAATAATGTGAGAAGTACTCAGTTCCGATTACGCATTATTTTGTGTGAGGGAAATGAGAGATCATGAGACATGTCATGTGACATTAATGGACAGATTACAGTTCTTTAATCGGAAAAGGGGGTAAATTTGGAAAAATATCTGTAGCACTATATTATTTTGTATTAAGCTTCATTGTGTGTTGTGTGAAATAGTGTTGATTAATTTTCGGATCGCATGGCGCTATCGAAAGTGAATTCTAAATTTTTAATGCATTTCTTTGATAATTCAAAAGAATTGGTTGAATGGTGTATGAGTGTAGGTTTAATTGTGGATAAGTATGAATGTCCAAAATGTGGGAATGAAATGAGATTGTGTGAAAGGAAGGATATTACAGATAAGTTTGAATGGCGGTGCAAGAAATCTGGTGAAAATGGACATTTTGTGAAACGGAGTGTAAGGAAGGGTATGTGGTTTGCTGAAAGTAGTTTGAGTATGGGTGAAATTTTATTAATTTGTTATTACTGGGTGAATAAACTGCCAGTTGACTACTGGATTTTGGATTTAGAAATTAGCAGTAGTACTGCAGCCGATTGGAACTCTTTCTGTAGGAAAGTGTGCATGCCACGTAATGAAGATTCTGAAGAAGATTACGTAAGTTAGTATTTTTAATCATTTGAGGATATAATTTTTATGCATTGTTCTAAATGTAAGGAGTAAATAAATTAATATGGTATTATTGGAAAATTGTTATTAGCAATGATTTAGTTTAAAGTAATTAGAATTGTTATCTAATTTTTATTAATTTAATGTATGTGCTTATTTATATTTTAAGTAGTGTTTTTTAATTTAATGATCGTGATTTTGTGAGTTATATGTTTGTAGTATACGTAATACGTTTAAGTAGTATACGTTGAGTATTTTCATGCATTTTCGTGAAATTTTTCTAATTTATGAGAAAAAAGGTTGATCTTTACATTATGGTAACTTGGCGATTTTTTGGCGAAAATTTGGCAACCAACTCTCCTACAGCAACCCTCTATTTTTTTTTCCCCGCCGCCATTTTGTCTTCACGAAGTAAAGACATGTTTCTTTTCTTTTTATCTACTGAACACTTCTTCCAACAATCTAGTAGCTGAATTACACTTATGCTAGAAATTTTATCAAACAAAACTGCTTAATCATGACAAATATTCACTGCAAAATTGGGAAAAAGTGCAAAATACCATATTCCTTACGTGTTTTTCAAAATAACACATACACATAAACCATGTACACGCCGACTTATTTTTACTTAAAAAAACATCCCAGAATTGCACAAAAATGGCATTGCGCACACTCTTCACTATATCCATGTACACTGCTTTTTTCTCATAAATTAGAAAAATTTCACGAAAATACATGACAATTTTCTCAATCTTTAAACCCAGTAAAAAGAACATATATGAAATTACCTGATCGCGAAAAAGTATTTACCCTTTACAAATATGAACATTTCCACATATAAAATAAATAAAATATCCAAAAACTTTTACCTCTAAATCATCTATTACATTATACACGTCACCAACGAATTCATACCGCAAGCATTACAAATACTTAGTGTCAGATATTTAAATTATTTCCATGCACGTTTACTTCAACTAAAATGTATACCAAATTCCTACAAACATAAAATTCACAAAATAACTATCATTTCATTAAAATATAATTAAATTCAAAAACACTACTTAAAATATAAATGAGCACATACATTAAATAATAAAAATTACCTTACAATCCTAACTACTTTTAAACTAAATCATTGCTAATAACAATTTTCCCAATAATACCAAATTCCTTTCCACCTTACATTTAGAACAATGCATAAAAATAATATCCTCAAATAATTAAAAATACTAACTTACCTAATCTTCTTCAGAATCTTGATTACGTGGCGGATACACTTTTCTAATTCATTCAATAAAATTATTGAAAGATTTTTTCTGCGAATTTTTCCTCCATACTTCCTCCGCTAAATAAAAAGCAAACTTCTCTTTATCACAATGCCTAAATACCCATTTCGAATTCACTTTAGTTAGGGCCATGGGATCCAAACATTAAGCAACACTGTTTCACACAACACAGAATAAAGCTAAATACAAAATTTCCACATTTTTTCCCCGATTTCCCCCCTTTTCCGATTAAAGAACCGTAATTCGTCCATTAATATCACGACATATCCCATGATCTCTCATTACCCTCACGCAAAATAATGCGTAATCGGAACTGAGTACTGCTCACATTATTACCAAAGTACCAGGTAGTAACCTTTATCGCCTCCAAAATGTCACCAAACTACCAGTTACCATATTGTAAAGATCAACCGAAAAAAGCAGTGTACATCGATATAGTGAAGAGGGTGTGCAATGCCATTTTTGTGCAATTCTGGGATGTTTTTTTAAGTAAAAATAAGTGGACGTGTACATGGTTTAGTTATATTTTAATTAAATAATAGTTATTTTGTGAATTTTATGTTTGTAGGAATTTGGTATACGTTTCAGTTGAAGTAAACAAGCATGGAAATAATTTAAATATTTGACACTAAGTATTTGTAACCATTTTTAATGTTTGCGGTATAAAATCATTGGTAACGTTTATAATATAATAGATAATTAAGAGGTAAAAGTGTTTGGATATTTTATTTATTTTATACGTGGAAATGTTCATCCTTGGAAAGGGTATATACTTTTTCACGATCAGGTAATTTCATATATGTTCTTTTTACCGGATTTAAAGATTCACAAAATTTTCATGCATTTTCGTAAAATTTTTCGGTTGATCTTTACAATATGGTAACTGGTAGTTTGGCGACATTTTGGAGGCGATAAAGGTTACTACCTGGCACTTTGGTAATAATGTGAGCAGTACTCAGTTCCGATTATGCATTATTTTGTGTGAGGGAAATGAGAGATCATGGGATATGTCATGTGATATTAATGGACGAATTACGGTTCTTTAATCGGAAAAGGGGGGGAAATCGGGAAAAAATCTGGAAATTTTGTATTTGGCTTTATTCTGTGTTGTGTGAAACAGTGTTCGTGAATTTTTGGATCCCACGGCCGTAACTAAAGTGAATTCGAAATGGGTTTTTATGTATGTATTAATTTAATGTATGTGCTCATTTATATTTTAAGTAGTGGTTTTTGAATTTAATTATATTTTAATTAAATGATAGTTATTTTGTGAATTTTATGTTTGTAGGAATTTTGGTATATGTTTTTAGTTGAAGTAAACATGCATGGAAATAATTTAAATATCTGAAACTAAGTATTTGTAATGCTTGCGGTATGAATTCGTTGGTGACGTGTATAATGTAATAGATGATTTAGAGGTAAAAAGTTTTTGGATATTTTATTTTATTATTTTATATGTGGAAATGTTCATTACTTTTTTTTCGCGATCAGGTAATTTCATATATGTTCTTTTTTTTTACCGGGGTTTTAAAGATTGAGAAAATTGTCATGTATTTTCGTGAAATTTTTCTAATTTATGAGAAAAAGCAGTTTGTACATGGATATAGTGAAGAGTTGTGCGCAATGCCAATTTTTTTGTGCAATTCTGGGATGTTTTTTTAAGTATTTTTACTTAGTCGGCATGTACATGGTTTAGTCATTTATATTTTAAATTAAATGATAGTTATTTTTGTGAATTTTATGTTGTAGGAATTTGGTATAAACGTTTAAGTTGAAGTAAACGTGCATGGAAATAATTTAAAAATATTTGATACTAAGTATTTGTAATGCTTGCGGTATGAATTCGTTGGTGACATGTATAATGTAATAGATGATTTAGGGTAAAAGTTTTTGGATATTTTATTTATTTTATATGTGGAAATGTTCATATTTGGAAAGGGTAAATACTTTTTCGCGATCAGGTAATTTCATATATGTTCTTTTTTTTAAAGGGTTTTAAAGATTGAGAAAATTGTCATGTATTTTCGTGAAATTTTTCTAACTTATGAGAAAAAAGCAGTGTACATGGATATAGTGAAGAGTGTGCGCAATGCCATTTTTTTGTGCAATTCTGGGATTTTTTTTTTAAGTAAAAATAAGTCGGCGTGTTACATGGTTTATGTTTATGTGTTTATTTTGAAAAACGCGTAAGAAGTATTTTTTGTGGTAACTTTTTTCGTATTGTTTGTGCATGGTTTTTTTTTTTTTTTTTTTTTTTTTTTTTTTTTTTTTTTTTTTTTTTTTTTTGCATTTTTTTGCAGTTTTTGAATTTGCAAAATATTTGTCATGATTAAGCAATTTTGTTAGATAAAATTTCTAGCATAAGTGTAATTCGGCTAGTAGATTGTTGGAAGAAGTGTTCTGTAGATAAAAAGAAAAGAAACATGTCTTTACTTCGTGACGACAAAATGGCGGCGGGAAAAAAAAAATAGAGGGTTGCTGTAGGAGAGTTGGTCGCCAAATTTTCGCCAAAAAAACGCCAAGTTACCATAATGTAAAGATCAACCAATTTTTCTAATTTATGAGAAAAAAGCAGTGTACATGGATATAGTGAAGAGTGTGCGCAATGCCATTTTTGTGCAATTCTGGGATTTTTTTTAAGTTAAGTCGACGTGTACATGGTTTAGTGATATTTTAATTAAATAATAGTTATTTTGTGAATTTTATGTTTGTAGCAATTTGATATACGTTTCAGTTGAAGTAAACATGTATAGAAATAATTTAAATATTTGACACTAAATATTTGTAACTATTTTTAATGTTTGTGATATAAATTCGTTGGCGACGTTTATAATATAATAGATAATTTAGATGTAAAAGTTTTTGGATATTTTATTTATTTTAAACGTGGAAATGTTCATCCTTGGGAAGGGTATATACTTTTTCGCGATCAGGTAATTTCATGTATGTGCTTTTTACCATGTTTAAAGATTCACAAAATTTTCCTGCATTTTCGTGCAAATTTTTGTAATTTATGAGAAAATAGCAGTGTAGATGAATTAAGTTAGGAGTGTGGGCAATGCCATTTTTGTGCAATTCTGGGATGTTTTTTTAAGTAAAAATAAGTCGACGTGTAAATGGTTTATATGTATGTGCTATTCTGAAAAGCACGCAAGGAGTTTGCGATTGTGTACTTTTTCCCAATTTTAGCAGTTAATATTTGTCATGATTAAGCAGTTTTGTTACATAAAATTTCTAGCATAAGTGTAATTCGACTAGTACATTGTTGGTAAAAGTGTTGAGTAAATAAAAAGAAAAGAAACATGTCTTTACTTCGTGAAGACAAAATGGCGGCAAAAAAAAAAAAAATAGAGGATTGTAGCAGAGTTGGTCGCCAAATTTTCGACAAGTTACCATAATCCAAAGATCAACCATAAAAGCATTTATAACGGATAAAAAATTCAGAAAAAAAAATAATAATAAATAAGAGAAGAATAATATAAATCTGCAAATGCGAACAATGACAGTGATAATTCAACAAAATGAACGCAAGAGGAATGTTGCAAACTTCGAACAAGCGAACAGGATAAATCCGATAGATTACCAGGTTTGAACTACGAGGGCCATCCAGGAAGTAGATTACGTTTCCGTCTGTGTCCGCTAGGGGCGGGGCTAGCGCGGCCATCTTGGGGTCAGAGCGTTGCGCAGCTCAGTCTGCATCTAGCCGTGCTAGTGAGAGGTTCGTGCTGTGCTCCGTTCAGATACTGTGACGGTTTGAAATGTCTGCGTTAATTGAAAATCCCGCGAGCTGCGCTCAGTAATAAGGTTTCTGACTGCAAAAAAACTGTAAACCGATAGAAATCTATCGGCAGCTTCGTGAAGTGTATGGGGACAACATTATCACTGAAGGTGGAGTGCGTCAGTGGGTCATAAGATTTCAAAATGGCCGAACCAATGTTCACGACGAAGATCGAAGTGGGAGACCCCAGCATAGTGACCGCCGAACTTCTCGAAAAAGTCGATGCTAAAGTCCGTGTGAAAATCGAAAATTTCACAATAACGGAACTTTCTTTGAGTTTTCCACAAATTTCGCGAAGTTTGTTGCACGAAATCATCAGCGAAAAAGCTTGGTTACCACAAGTTTTGTGCAAGATGGATTCCAAAAATCTTGACAGAGGACCACAAACATCAGCGAATGGCTGCAGCGTTGTGAAACTTTTTTTGGACGCTTACCATAAGGATGGTGACTCTTTACTACTCGATCGCATCGTTACTGGTGACGAAAACATGGGTGAACATGTGAACTGTGAAACGAAATTGCAATCAATGCAGTGGGGGGCACACAAGTTCTCCCCCCAAAACCCAAGAAATGCATCCAAACAACGTCGGCAAGGGAAGATGATGGCGACTGTTTTTTTTGGGACAGAAAAGGTGTAATTTTGGTGGTGACTTCCTGGAAAGAGGCGGCACTACAATAAACTCTCAAAGGTATTGCCAAACTCTCCAAAAACTCAGAAGAGCAATTCAAAACAAGCACAGAGGAATGTTTTGAGCTCTAAGATCTTGTTGATATTCACGGACAACGCCCGGCCCCCACACGGCAAATGTCACTCGTAAAGTTCTTGAATCTTTTAAGTGGGAGTTGTTTCCTCATCCCCCTTTCCTCATCCGCCGTACAGTCCCGACCTGGCACCGAGCGACTTCCACCTATTCCCAGCAATGAAGAAGTGGCTGGCTATGCAGCGTTTTGATGACGACGCACAGCTGCAAGAAGAGGTAACGAAGTGGTTGAAGGCGCAGGCGGCCGAATTTTTCGACGAAGGAATTTCCAAGCTCGTACATCGCTACGATAAATGCCTTAATTTGTATGGTGACTATGTAGAAAAGTAGTATTTGAGTGTGGCTTTCATCTGTATATAATAAAATTTGTTTCCTATACTTTGTTTATTTTTTTATTCCAAAACGTAATCTACTTTCTGGATAGCCCTCGTATTATCGCCAAAGTTGGCGATGTTTCCATTTACTGGGTTCTCTGCGGAAGTGCTTCCGAAAGTTTATCTATCAAGACTTTACTTGTTCATGAAGAAGTTTATTTATGGTTCACATGTAAATGCACTGTCATTTTAAATGAAATGGAAGATTTCCCAGAAAACAAGGATAAAGTCTGTATTTAATGTGATAGTTTATAATTTATCCTCTCGCTCTCTGGTGGGCACATAACAAATTGAAAAACACTTTCATTTGCTGTCATAGCAGCATTAACATTTTGATAAAACCCAAAATGTAAACTCAACTTACGTTCAATTACGCTTAAAATATTACAGAAATTTCTAATTTTGAACCTGAATAAATTGCTATTCAAAGTCGCAATATCATAAAAATGCTATGGTACATGCAACTAGTAAATAAAAGGTAAGCATAAAAGTATTCACAAAGCACAGAACATAAGCAATTAGTTAGCGCGAGCTCTTTTATACTCTACTATGGTGTATGACAGAAAATGAAATACAGCCATCAAATAAAATATAAGCAATTTTCCCCTTCCACTTTAGTATTGAAAATGAAATATTCTAGTTTATATAAATAATGTGAGCACAAGCAAAATTCGCTACGGTTTATAATATACAATACATCAAGCAGTATATTATGAGAAAAAACTAAGGTACCAACTTACTAATTATTAGGATATCAAACTTAGACAAACGGAATTCGTAAATACAAGACAACGCCTTTAACAGTACAACGTCAATTATAACAAATTTCTCAAAACTGATAATGAAAGTTGTAGTCAATGAAAACAAAAGACTGATATTGCCAAAAAGAATTTTTCTTTTGGGAAAATTATATTTGCAGGGCCCCGAAAATAATTATGCAAAAGAAGTAAAATACGCACTTTTTTATTTTTAAAATAGATTTTTAATTTGTTTTAGAAATAATATAGTAAAATATTCAGGACTAAATTTGGAAATCAGTTGATAAATAATAACAGGAGTTTCCGAATATTTGGTTTTCAAAATAATGTAAATATTATAATTTTAATTTTATTTAAACTATATAATTATTATCTGTCTCTCAACGGTAAGGGAAAATTAAGGATTATTTGAGAAAATAATATATAAATTCGCTTAAACTTACCAGCTTGCAGACTCCTCAGCTAAACTGAAATGTAAACTTTCTGTGTGTACAACGATGTAAAATTTTAAGTAACATTTTATAATTTAAACATTTTATGCTTTTAAATTTCATTTTCACATGAATTGGTAAGTAGGTACTTTACTTGCTTATCAACTTTAGAAATATGCAGTTTTTTTTGGGGAATGTGTCTAAACAATCATGAAGTAACCTTACAGTAACATTTAAGGATTTATTCTTCCCATTGTGAAGTATTTTAGACTATATTTAAGTTAATAGATGGCTTTCTACAAATCAAATAGTATTTTACTTACTTATCCCCATTACACACTTTTATCGTGTTACAGATTTAGTCAAATTCGAAACGATCACCATCTTAAATTTCGCGCCTTTCATTTTAAAAGCTCCTTGTACTACGAGAAAACTCATCGTAATGTCAAATATTTTTATATGTATCTAAATTAAAAGATAATAGTTTGCGGATAAGACCTGTATTATAGCTATTGAAGAGCTGATTCTTTCATGCAGAATGTTGATATTTTTTCTAAGTAGAGGAAAAGAAAACGATAAAAAGTGTACTTGGAATAAAATTAATCATGACGTGTAAATTTTATAGTTTCGTCTATGGGCTGTAGAATTGGGTGCCCCTTCGATTAGCAACAATTTTTTGTAAAGTTTTGGTGATAAAATCTCATTTATGGTTACCATGATAGTTTAACTTTGCTTTAGCCTCCTGATTTTTTCTTTTTTTTAAATAAATATAGATTGATGTGTACATGGACAAATTTAAAGCAGTGCGCAATGCCTAGTTTGTGCAATTCTGGGATGTTTTTTAAGTGAAAACAGATCGATGTGTACATGGACACAGAGTTTATGCAATTCTTTGACTTCTTATTTGGGTTTTGTGTAACGACCATCTTCAAATTGTATCTTCCTGGCGTCAAAAAAGAATCGCCAAAAAACAAGGGGCACCCAATTGTAAACTTTTACCCGTCTATGAAGGCAAAACGCAAATGATTTCATTATTATTATTATTATTATTATTATTATTTTTTTTTTTTTTTTTTTTTTTTTTTTTGTTTTTTTTTTTTTTTTTTTTTTTTTTTTTTTTTTTTTTTTTTTTTTTTTTTTTTTTTTTTAGCTAAAAAGCAGAGTTGTCCACTTATTTGTTTGGCACTTTTTACAAGAGTAAGAAGAATTGGATTTTTATCAATTTTCTTTGACTTTTTAAGTGTAAATAGGTCGATGTGTACATGGATTAAGTCAAGGGAGTGCACAATGTCACTTTTGTGCAATTCTGGGACTTTTTTTAAGTGAAAATAGGTCGATGTGTACATGGATACACAGTATGTGCAATTCTTAAAAACGTGCCAAGCAGTGGGCGATTCTGCACATTCCCTATTTTTTTTCAACTTTTAATAAGGTATTCCCCGCCTGAAAGCTGATCCTCAGAAAAGAAACATTAAATGGATATGAAATTCATAATGAATTCTATATACAGTACAAAGTCCGTAATCCGGACGTCCATTATCCGAAATGTTCTATAATCTGGACCTCAAAGCCACAAACTTTGCGTATGCGCGTAAAGAATGCGCATACATTACGCGCTTATGCATGCGCGCGTTGAAAGAAATGTAATAAAGTAAACAAATAAATATTAAGCTTTTTTTTGTAAAATTTGATACCCTTTAAATCGTAATTTATCTTTATTTCATAAATTACGATTTCATATTTTTAATTGTATAATCTGCATGCCATCTCACCAGATTTAAAGTGATGATCTATAATCCGGAAAGTCCCGACGAGTCCGGATTACAGACTTTGTACTGTAGTATGTGAACTTAAATTCATCTCACTTAAAAACTACCTACTTGGCTTATCTTATCAGTTTGGCGTCATAATTCTTACTTGAGTAAAAGACGAACGCCTTTGCATTTATAAATTATTCTTAATTGATCAGGATTTGGTTTGTTCCCCTTGAAAAGTCAACCAATTGCCAATCAATGACTATAATTACTTGGTTTATTGATTACTTTTTCATTTTTAAATCTTTCCATTTTCAATTTTTTCATGATTCATATTTGATGTTTCTTTTTAAAAAAAAATTAAGATTCATTTTTAAATGCTTGGATGTTACTTCATTCAGCTAAAATTCTACTAACTTTCTGAAAGGAGATAATGTACTCAATAATCCATTAATTATTTTATTACTTTGAAGCTTTAGTGCAAGTATTACTTTAGTGCAATTTATTATGATTAATATATGATTTATAGAAGACACAATTTCAAGATGGCCGCTACAAAAACAAAATAAGGTGAATCTTTACATTATGGTAACTTTGCAAAAATTTGGCGACCAACCCTGCTACAGCAACGTGCTAGTTTTGTTTTGGACGCCATTTTGTTTTCACGAAGTAAAGGCACTTTTTTTTTTTAACTCAACATTTTTTCTAGCAATCTGCTAGCCGAATTACATTTATACTAGAACTTTTATGAAACATAAATGCTTAATCATGACGAAAATTAGGAGCGAAATTGGGAGAAAGGGCAGAATTGCAAACCGCTTGCCGCGTTTTTAAGAATCGCACATACACGGTATCCATGTACACGTCCACCTATTTTCACTTAAAAAAACATCCCAGAATTGCACAAAAATGGCATTGCGCACACTCTTGACTTTATCTATGTACACATCGACCTATTTTCACTTAAAAAGTCAATGAAAATTGACAAAAATCTAATTCTTCTTACTCTTGTAAACAGCGCCGAACAAATAAGTGGGTGAATCTGCACTTTAGCAGCGAAATTGTTTCTAAGTGCTTATTAGCTACAATCACGATCGGAATTTTCCGGAAAATGTCACATTACATGTCTCATGATCTCTTATTTCTCCAAGACAAAATAATCTGGGATTCGAACTGTGTACTTCTCAGATTATTGCTAAAGTCCTAGCTAGTAGCTTTTATCGCCTTACCAAAATGTCACCAAACTACCTGTTACCATATTCTAAAGATTAGCCCAAAATAAGAAGTCAAAGAATTGCACAAACTCGGTGTTTAAAAAAAACATAAGACAGTTGTATCAAACTAGGCATTGCGCACTGCCTTAACTTTGCCCATGTACGCATCGATCTATTTTTGTTAAAAAAAAATCAGTAAGCTAAAATAAAGTTAAAACTATAATGGTAACCAGAAATGGGGGTTTCATCGCCAAAATAGTACAAAATTTGTCGCTAATCGAAGGGGCACCCAATTCTACACTAGAGCCATATATTATTTACAGTTTATTATTATATTATCTTTATTAATATTTTTACGGTTGATCTTTACATTATGGTAACTTGGCGTTTTTTTGGCGAAAATTTGGCGTCCAACTCTCCTACAGCAAACCTCTATTTTTTTTCCCCGCCGCCAAAGACATGTTTCTTTTCTTTTTATCTACTGAACACTTCTTCCAACATCTCTACCAGCCGAATTACACTTATGCTAGAAATTTTATCTAACAAAACTGCTTAATCATGACAAATATTCACTGCAAAATTAAAAATTGGGAAAAAGTGCACAATACCATACTCCTTACGCGTTTTTCAAAATAACACATACACATAAACCATGTACACGCCCAACTTATTTTTTTACTTAAAAAAAACATCCCAGAATTGCACAAAAATGGCATTGCGCACCACTCTTCACTATATCCATGTACACTGCTTTTTTTTTCATCATAATTAGAAAAATTTCACGAAAATACATGACAATTTTCTCAATCTTTTAAAAACCCGGTAAAAAAGAACATATATGAAATTACCTGATCGCGAAAAGTAATGAACATTTTTCCACATATAAAATAAATAAAATATCCAAAAACGTTTACCTCTAAATCATCTATTACGTTATACACATCACCAACGAATTCATACCGCAAACCATTACAAATACTTAGTGTCAGATATTTAAATTATTTCCATGCACGTTTGCTTCAACTAAAACGTATACCAAATTCCTACAAACATAAAATTCACAAAATAACTATCATTTAATTAAAAAATATAATTAAATTCAAAAAACACTACTTAAAATATAAATGAGCACATACATTAAATTAATACATACATAAATACCCATTTTGAATTCACTTTAGTTACGGCCATGGGATCCAAAAATTCACGAAACACTGTTTTCACACAACACAGAATAAAGCCAAATAACAAAATTTCCAGATTTTTTTTTTTTCCCGATTTCCTTTCCCTTCCCCCCTTTTTTCCTTTTTTCCTTTTCCGATTAAAGAACCGTAATTTGTCCATTAATATCACATGACATATCCCATGATCTCTCATCATATCCCTCACACAAAAAATAATGCGTAATCGGAACTGAGTACTGCTCACATTATTACCAAAGTCCCAGCTAGTAACCTTTATCGCCTCCAAAATGTCGCCAAACTACCAGTTACCATATTGTAAAGATCAACCTTTTTTACAGTTCAATCTTTGATATATGTATGTTAAGATGACAGAGTATATTGTGCTTTGGGGGGGGGCAAGGGGGAAATTTCTGGAAAATACTAATAAGCTTGTGAAAGGCACATAAAATTGGAATTTACTTTAAAAATTTGCACAGAAAAAAATGCTATTTGAAGAAGATGCTTTATTTGTTATTTTAATAAATATAGACTAACTGGTCATACTGCAAACTTCAGGCATATGCTAAATTTCCTAAATACCATATGCTTAACTTTGATTCTAAGACAAAGGATACGTTTGTAAAAATGTATTTACCAGTGCCCCTTGGCGATTTTTGTTGGTACATGGACATTGAGTTTGTGCAATTCTTTGACTTGTTATTTTGGCTTTGTGTAGCAGTGATTTTTGTGCCAAAAATCGCCGCTGCACAATTCCAAAATCACAAGTCAAAGAATTGCACAAACTCGGTATCCATGTACACATCGATCTATTTTCACTTTAAAAAAAAATCAAAAAATTCCACAAACTAGGCATTGTGCCACTCCCTTGACTTTGTCCATGTACACATTCATCTGTAGTCAGTTAAAAAGTCAAAGAAGCAGCCAACAAAAAATATATACTCTCAATAAACTACATTTTAAATAAAATAATGAAATAACATAAAAA